TCAAACCATCTCAAAAAGACGAGGAGGAAGAGGAGAAGGAGAGGATAGAAAGAGCAGAGCAGATCAATCGAGGAGGAGAGATGTCAGTCCAGTCAGTGCCCTATGTCCTCAGCTCAGTGGTGATGCATTCTGGCATATCGTCCGAAAGTGGCCACTACTACTCTTATGGCCATAACATCAGCGGAGCAGATGGAACACAGCATCCAGCCAATCACTTTGCCCTCGAGGAGGATTTGGGAAATGGCCAGGCCGAGTGTAGCCTCTCCACTTGCTCAGCTCTCTCAATTCCACCTGAACAAGGAGAAACACAACCTAATAGTGGCCAGGAGGCAAGGGATTGGCTGCTGTTCAACGATAGCAGAGTGACATTCTCATCCTTCCGGTCAGTGCAAAACATTACTAATCGCTTCCCCAAGGACACAGCTTATGTGCTCATGTACAGGAAACAGGAGCTACCGGGGCAGAGCATAAATGGGGGGCTGATGGCAAATGGAATGAGATTGAGTGCCGAGCCTCCCCTGCAGAAAGAACTACTGGATGCTATTATCAAGGACAACAAGCTGTATTTACAGGTATGTGGGGGTGAACAAAAAACATACTTCTCCCACATACAGGTGTTATGTTACCTATTCAAATCATTCCCTATAAAGTATAGCAATAAATGCAAGCCAAGTGGGAAGTGATTAGCATTAGAGCAAGTTTTTTAATTGGCTGCTAAGAGGTTCGGCGGATATTTTGGCTGAAATACTGTGCTTATTTTTATGGTTTACACGCATTTGACGTATAACATCATTACCACTAACCCCTCTTAAGTGTAAGGTTATTATGAAAGTCGAGGACTGTACAAGATTCTCTCAGGTGGAAAGAAGCTGAGGAAAAACAGACTGTACTTTTACAGATAACTAAGGGCCTGCAGAGTATAGCTTTTCTTTTTTCCAACTGAACTTGAAGCCAAACCTGAGCTGTCCTGCTCAAAGACGTGAGGTGTAATTTCACGAGTCATTGAACTGTGCCGTGTTGCGTTGACTTTCCAGCGCGCTTGTGTAAGTGACTGAAGTAAATCACCTCTAGAGGGTGCTGTATTAATGTTTAAGTGACAACACTGATGCACTGTAAGTCACATAAAGCTACACCAATGCTAAATGAACTCTCTCGCACAGCATGCCGGTAGGTTAAGTATATATTGTAGTTTACATTTTAAAATGGTCTAACTTGGAGACGTCTCTCTTCCATCCATGCTGTCAACAGGAACAGGAGCTCAATGCTCGGACCCAGGCTCTCCAGGCCCCTTCGTCCTCGTGCTCATTCAGGCCCAACGGTTCAGATGACAATAACCCACCAGGGAGCTGTGGCCCATCTGGTGGAGGAGGAGGAGGAGGGGGAGGGGGCTTCAATACCATTAGTAGACTGGTCTTCTGAAAGAAAAAGAAAAAATGCTGCAGGAAACTAGCACTAAGGGAGTCCTGAACTGTCATACCATAGATGTGCATACAACCTCATAAAAAGAGCACTGAAATGATCTAAAAAACACACACACACACACACACACAGAGCACATACACAGAGCATCTCTGCTGATTCTGATCTCCAAGTCTTATACTTTAGTTTAGTCTTTATACCACTGTCATTTAATATTTTCTATTTTATTTAGATACATTTATTTGATCTCAACATTGTAATCTTTTATTCATCCTCCAAATTTCAAAATGTGAGGTTCATAATACTTATTGGTGCGAATTTGTTCTGTCCTACGAAATGAAAGAAATACGGCTACAAATAATTTGATTTTATAGAAATATATTAAATAACCATTGGTCTCCTAATAAAACGTTACTTACGTGATAAATATGTAAAATAACTTGTTTATATCATCTGGCTTGGCGGAGTGTTTATAATACCTCACACGCACACACATACACATAAACATATGCAAATACATGCATGTGCAGTGCACAGTACAGAAGAAAGAATTCAGCTGTAAGATAAAAAGACTTTTTTGATTTGTCATAGGTCTGAACACACAGCTCACAACCTTTTGTTTACTTTTCTGATTTGCATGCGTCTATTCTTCACAAGCTGTGGAGTTTGATTTTCAAGATATTTGAATCTTTTTTGATGTGTGCTTTGGTGTTTTATAGGTTTCATATCCCATGCAATAAATGTACATATGACTTAAAAATATCATTCTGAATAATCATGGAATACAAAACTATATGTGGAAAATTGAATACTATACAGAATAAGGAAAATTTTCAAGATAAAGGCATTTTCAATATGAATATTTAATGCTCTTCTCCCACTAATAGGTAGTGTGATCTACAGAGAATAGCAGACTGCTTCTTTTAACATATTTGACGACATTTAACTGTTTGAAGGCATATTTTAATGTATTCCTCTGATCTGATCATTCAGGGAGACTTTTGTGTTGATGCTGATTTTATGTGCCTTTTGATATTTAATGCAGATTTTCGAAGAGGAATTTGTCAGGATATACACCTCAGCTGTACTGTGTTAATATTCATAATGGCTTCACCTTTCCCTACAGTAAGAAAAAACAGTATTTGTTGTATTGTCTAACTTAACCAGGCAGGTTATTTAAGGTAAATTTATTTAAAGTGGTATGTTGGCAAAGAGGTGGGCAGATGTTGGGGACTAAACTATAAATGTAATGGTTGACACGTGGTGATACAAATGTTAAAAAAAAAAAAAAGAAAGTATGAAAATGAACTGACTATTAATAAATACTCAATTGAGCGATGGCAAGACAAAGCAGCAGATGGTTTCTGGAAACCTTAAATCATTTTTTTTTGTGTGGAAATGAGCCAAACAGCTAAGGTTATGAGTGTGTTTTTATGCTCAAGCGTACCTCAATGTCTGCGTCACCTTACTTGTCACATTTCCATAATTCCACTTCTCCACTACAGAGAATATATTGACCACTAGGAGCCATCTCTAGTACTACATCTCCACTTGAATGGATCTCCTACTATAAATAATTTATACTCTTCTTGCAGTATATACAGACCCTGTCATCGGCATTGCCAGGTAGCTCGATCTAAATGTGGCAAAATGGTATTAAAGCTGCAAATAAATACAAAAAACGTCTAATCAGTTAAATGCTTCAAACTGAGATAATGTTAAATTCAGTATATTATTGATTATTGATAGCTGCAGACCTCAAGAATTCCACTCAGAAACATGCATTTTCAGTATGTAAGTGACTTTGTTGATTAATAAAAAATGCAGAACTGTATGTTGTTGCATAATTCATCAAAACAAGCATCATCTCATTTTTTGTTTTTTTTTGCTTTGATTGCAAAATATTTTTGTACAAATGGAAGTAAGTACTAATATAGCTAAAAAAAAAGGAACTGGGAAATCACATGCAGTCACATATTGTACCCACAGACACTGGACAAATGATTAGTTGTAATGTAGCAATAGCAGAATTGTTTGCACAGGTGCCATTTATTACTAATTAGCAATTGATATGGTAAAAACATCGCAGTAGCACTAAAGCTTTCAAAGGGCATTTGCGAAAAAAATCAATTATTCTCAATTATTAATCAACCAAACCATTACTCTTTTCTCCTCAGATTTATTGAAATGTTAACTCCTGGGAATGGTTTGATATTATATCTACTCATTAAATGTAATGTCATATTTGGACTTTATAGTATTTACATGAGCTTTAGCTTTGTATAGTTATATATATATAGTTATATATGTCTGTTCATCTAATGTGGGTACAACACAAGCTATTTGACTTTTAAAACAACTGCAGTGGCTCTTGTGCTAAATATGATATCATGAAAATAAGTAATTAACTGGAATGGTGTTTTGTATATACAGCTTCTAATTGCTCCCTATTTCTTCATCCATACAGAGGGATGTTGAAAGAGGTAATGTGCCTGTACAATGGCAAAGTCATTAATCACAGACTAACAGGGAACATCCTTTGGGGGAAGTGTTTACCATTACAATAGCATTCCAATAAGATTCCTCAGATACCAATCTAAGTCCACGGCAAACACTGCTTTGCCAGTGAGTCCAATATATTGATCAGATATGGTAAACCAGATCAATATTAGATTTACAAACCTTTTTCTTAACACTTTAGTGTTGGACAAGCTGCCTTTAAAACGCTACTGTATACAGTTCAATTAAAATAAATGACAAAAACCTATCTACATGTAACTAAGGATGGGTCAATAAGTTCAAATCAAACAATACATGATTTTAATGGCGAGTTTTCTTTAGGGAATAAACGCGCATTATGGATAGTGTAGTTTAGCAGTGCAATCATTTCTTGGGAGCTTTCGGTTCACACTGAGGTGGCTCGTTTCTTTGTCTTTTCTTCAACTGTTTGAGGCCACTTATTGTCCTCACCCGGAGGTCCATAGAGCGTTATTACACCATCTTTCATCTATCAAACCGCCCTACAGTCGTTTGTTGTTGTTTGGGACGGTACATAAACGATTTTTGAACTACATGTCCCATGGTTGGAGCTCTACAGTTTTCCCTGCACGCCGCCGCCTCCCCGTTTCGTCCTCAAAACTAAACGTTGCTGTTAAAGCGAGCGGAGCTACAAGAGTGGAACATCCGGTGGTAACCTTTCAAAACAAATCTCCCAATGAAGAACATACCGCTGGGAGGACGCGTTGAAGGAACGTGTTTTGCGTCGTAAATATGAAATTTACATTCAAGGAAGATTTTGTAATCCACGAATGAAAATACATTTGTTCCTAATTATAAAAAAAAAGCATATTTTACCAAATCAACAGACGTATTGAACTCTGAAAGATTGAGCAAATGAGCATAGATAGTTAGGGCAGCCAACTATTAATCAACAACGACTTAACGTTAAATCGCTGTCCGTTTGGGCCGTTAACATTGGTACAATAGCCGTTGAAACAAACCTTCTGGACAAGCCAAACGTTTATTTTGAAATTAGGATCACCAAACTTCCGGCCTCACGCCGTTAGGCCTTTTAGCTTGACGCCGCCATGTTCTTAAGGAGAGTGAGTTGAGGGAAAGACGAAGCCACCCTGTCAATCATAATTAAGGAACCACGGGAGTAAACTGGTAGGGAAGCTCGGCGGAACCACTGTGTTTACGGTGAAGATTGTTTTAATTTGCGCAGAAACGACAACTATGCACCGGTACACTGTGGGACATTTACATCGCCCAACTGGGAATCGCTCCACTTTGACGGGAATTAGCATGAAGCGTTACATATAACAACAAAAAAAACTTAGCGACTCTCAGTTGCCTGCGCCTGTTTTTTGCCCCCACAGCGTTCCAGTTTGAGCAAAATACACAAGTCACCGTTGATATTTGTACAAAAGGCGGTGCCGCGGAGGTTTATATCAACTCCGAGCTCAGGATATATCCGTCTGTTTGACTACAACTCGTGGAAAATCTGGTCTGTGCATTTCAGAGAACTGCCTTGTCGGTGAGTCGACTTTCGATGAAGGAGTGACGGTATTCATCGCTCTTTTTATTAAAAAAAAAAAAAAAAAACTAAACAAAAGGAATACACAAATACTACATTTTAACTTTTTTTTTTTTTTTTTTTTTTTGGTACTTCCAACTTCCACCGTTTGAGCTTTGTGTCAACATTTGTTTTTTCTTCAGGTACGAGAAGACACTCCCAAAAACAAACGAAGCCCAAAATCTCTCCGCTCATAAACTCCAGGGGAGAGCAAGAGAGAAAAAAGGGAGCAGATATGAGTGGGGGAGATGTGATGTGCTCAGGGTGGCTGAGAAAGTCTCCTCCTGAAAAAAAGTTGAGACGTTACGTAAGTGCACTTTTATATCCTATTTGTTACGTTGTAATAAAGTAACATGTTAGACAAAAAAAAAAAAAAAAAATGTGCCTGCTTTTTTCCCTCCCTTGGACACTCTTCATGTGCGCGGTTGGGCACGGTGACAGACGTGTGTAGGCCTCATCTTGTGTGCATTTCAACAATTAAGTTTTTTTTTCTTCTGAATCCTAAAAAAGGTGTGGGATTACTCTGAGCTCGGTTTTCTGGCAGTAAAAGTGACTTAACCTATGAGTTAGCAGGCAGGAGGCTATTGTTTTGCACGGCTACAGGACACGTTGTTGTTGTTGTTTATTTTGTGTCAGAGCTTTTCATTATCAGACAGCCTCCTTTAATGGCTTCTTTATACCACCACGCAGCAATCCAGTCTCACAGCATTACCTCTGAGGATTCACTTGGACCAATAACACAATACATTGATTAGCCTGGGAAGCTTGTGCAGTCACAGTCAGTTCTCCCTGTGTCAAAGGCGGTAGATGGTCATGCCAAAGGGTTAAATGATTTACAAAACAACTGCGGGCTACATCAAAGGATGACCCCATTCCTGCAAATTGCAATGTTTCTAGAGAGTTGTCCCATGTGCATAATGAAGTGTAGTTGTTTGTCAGAGCTACTATGACTACCGGTATTAATGTCTACAACCGTACACTGACTGACCACTCCTACGGTTAAAGGATGATTTTTCTTCATCTAATCTGTCACACTGGCAGTGAATTGTCACTGTTTTGTGTGTGATTCTCTTGGAAAAGCAAATAACTTAAGTAGCACATGTTGGCTATCAGGTCTTCATGCTTTCCTTCTGGGTCAGTGGATATCTCCGTTATTGATATTTGAATTACAAGGCCCGCAACCTGAGAGGAGGGGTGTTTTCACAGAAACCACAGGTCCAATGAAGTGTTTTTTCTGAAAGCAATAAAACTAAAATCTAGCCACAAAGACAGCAGAGCTTTTCCCCAGTCAAAATCCCAGTTCACTACCTTTTATTGTGAGCATTTTTCTTGTGTTAGTGTATGCTTTTACGAGTGGTAATCACTCACAGCTTCATAACTCGGACCAGAGATGACATTTTGTTTACAATTTGTAGGAAGAAGTAACCATTTTTTAGTTATCAGAGGTCACCCTGATGTACATTATGTGGTACTAAGAATTTAATAGTCCCTCTTCAGAATGTTCTCACTTCTGCATCACTTGAAATAATCTCCAAAAACGATTGTTAGCCACAATCACCCGAAATTGTTCTTTCTCAATAGATTAACAGCAGGCTGGTGGATGACTTAATTGTTCTCAAGGGGATAAAGCAACTAGCTGCTCCGGTTTCATAACCGTTTTCTGAACACCGTAGTGTATATTAGTCAGAAGGCCATCTCACAGTATCTCATGAGGACCATGAGAACTGCTCTGATGCTGGTTTTATACAGAAGAAGATTTAGTGTAGTTTACAGGTGACCAGCAAACTACATTACAGTTGTTGTTTTGTTATGAAAATATCTGTGGTCAGTTGTTCTAGTTGATTTTTTGTTGGATATTTGCATTGTAAATTAATGGTTAGCCATCACAACCACTATCCCACTTTTTTGTTTTCCCCCCTTTCTGACTAGAAATGAGGATCTTGATTGATAGCTATAGCTATTGCCTGGTATTTGACATATAGTGAACATTGATTTGTTTTCATTTTAGTACCTAGACATGAGTAAAATCACAAAAATGTACATTCAAAATTTCAAAAAGTGGTTTCCCATGAGCTGCTACCATTCAAAAAAAAAAAAAAAAAAAGACTATAAATTCTGTACACAAAAGTGGTTGGCTCCCTGTGAAAGGTCATTGTGCTTTGTCACATGAGGCTTTGTAATCCATGGAAGTGCTGACTATCCTTTTTTGGCAGATGACAAATGGGTAAACTGTTACCTATCTGGGAACTGGCCAGCAGCTGTTTGAGTTGATGCCAAAAATAAATAGAGAAGTTCATTATTTTCACCAATAGAAGTCACGCAGCCGGTAATGAAGCACTGTGGTTATAGGCTGGCAGTGATTAGTGGCATCATGTTGTGGCTGAATCTAGGAATTGTTTTGGTATTTGAATAATCTGGTGACCTTTTTTTATTTGATCTATTGTTCTATAAAAAAAAGAAGTGATATCAAGACATTGTCAAGAGTAAGTACTTGCTCTAAGTTAACTGTGTTTCCTGGATTACACAACATTTAGTGTCATTGGCACAATGGTCAGCTTACTTTTTAGCTACACTGCTAGCGACCCACAGCCCTTAGTGTAGTAGGATATGCTACAATGGTAGTGTAAGGGCAAAGTATTGTTTGGAAATGTTGATATCAGGACCAGTACCATATCTGGGCTTCAATACCAATATTATTAATTTTAATTCTTCCTTGCCTAGTCAATTAATAAAGCTATTGTACGGTTGAACCCTTAAATATCTGAGGTTGTATACATACAAAGTTGTGTGTAAATGTGTGTTGTGTTGCGTGGCAATCATACAATAGGATCTGTTGGCAAAGTTAGCTTGTGATTATTGCTCTAAATATATCAGCCATAGTAAAATCTTATGGTTCAGTCAGTTGTCTTCATGTCATTGGTACATAGACTAAATCAGTGGCATTATAGTTACATACCCTATGCCTTAGTTAACTGTATTCACTTCACATACATTTTACATCACAACACAACGCAGTGAGCTTTATGAGAAAATGAATACGAGCCTTCAGCTTCCTCTGTGTCCGGGAGGAGAAGGCAGTGAGGCCAAGGTTCTGTTTGGCAGCGACACTGTGTCCTCCTGACTCTGTTTTTGTTTGTCTGTCATCATTTGAGTGGATATTAGATGTATCGCACACAAGTTTTTTTTTTTACGGTCAAATATCAGTATCATTATAGTTGTCCCCTTACTACTTAAAAGACAAACAACAGCAGTCTTTGTCACATTTCAACTAGCTTTGTCTTCACCTCATCCTTCAGCTAAAACCATAGTTTACTATGTTTTCTACTAGTATTATCTGTTTCATGATCACCACTTCAGAAGTTTGGCTCTACTTGATTTGTCTGTCATCACCTTTTTGAGGGTCTGCTCAGAAAGTGGTGACATTACAGTAAGATACACACAAATACCAAACTGGTTTAAAATGATATCAGTTAATACAGAAATCAGGAAACCATTCACATTACCAGATATCTCGTTTCACAGTTTAACAGTTTATCAAAGAGAACCCAGGCTTCTGTGCAGTCGTCTTTATCTTACTAAACAAATAATCAAGGAAAAATTACATAAGAAAAACCTCATTTGTTCTGAAACAATCAGAGTACCCGGCATTGTTAAGGTAAACATTTGGTTTAGTGACTGAGTTGAAAAAATAAACGAATGGAATAGAAAACATTACAGTAGTGTGTGAACATGCCGCTACCACCGTCAGCGCTCTTTTATTAGTCCCATCTCCAGATGGAGCAGCGGTAGACTCTTAAGTCGGGGACCCTGCTTACCTGTTTAACCACTCAGGGCAAAGTTTGCCCCCGAGGAGCTGCTGCTGATTGGTGGAGCTCAAAGGTGAAAGCAGTTCAGCAGACCTGCCTGCATCTGAGCAGCCCCAGCCATCATGGGCTTGACACATGCTAGACAATGATGTGGACCAATAGAACAACGTCATACTGCTGAGTCATTGATAGGCTGCAACCAAAACAAAGCATGGATGGAACAGTTGATTTTGGCTATCTCTGATTTTCCTAAACTTTGTTTTACGACCTAACACCACTGCTAATGTAAATTACCATTATCATCAAGACAAGAAAAAGAGTTACTAAAACTTTCTGTAATCAGTGTTTACAGCTCAGAAATAATACTTACATTTTACTGCTGATACAAGCAGTGGAAAAACTGAATTAGTGTAATTTCTCTGGGTTGTTTTTCTTTCGTCTCATAAACAATTTAATCATCATTTACATATAATAAACAGAATGTATGCAGTATTTACAATACAGCCTTTGAAGTGGATTAATTCGTTTTTGTAGTCAGAATTCTCTGAGAAAGAGTCAACACTTCATGGCCATTAATGTCTCATTCAGGGGCAGCATGAAGGTATCTAACCACAATTGCTTTTGTAGGACTTTTCCCGGCGAGAGTTTGTCATAAGTGTATCCTCTGCGGTTTTCCTTTTCATTGACACTGCATTTTCCATCTGGTTCTCCTTTTCCTCTTTCATTTCTCGTACCTTTCAATTTGTGAATTTCTGCAGAGGGCCGCAGATAGTGTGCCTGTGACAATACATTGCCACATGATATCATTATGTGAAATAATATCATGTGGTATTCGGTTAAACGTCTCTCTCTCTCTCTCTCTCTCTCTCTCTCTCTCATCCTCATCAGCACCAAAGAACAGTGTCCTAACCTCTAAGACCTGTCTACCTGTCCTGACCACACACTGTACCTAATGAGGCTATATGCCTTATGAGGTATAGATGCCTATGTATGTAGCAAACTTCAGTAAATAATAAGATTCAGTGTTTACCACCACACCCCTGCTGTGACTGTCCGTCTGTGTCAGGCCTGTTATAGACTGGTGACCTGTCCACCCTGGCACTCTGGGACAGCCTCCATACCTAGTAGTATTCAGTGATGGGTGGATGGTACTTTGACTGTGTCTCATCTCAAGCATCAAATACTTTGTCACTGTATTTTTTTCCTAGCCGATGTCGGCTACAATCTCTCTTCAAATCTAAGTTTCTTGTTTAAACAAGATACCGGCTTATCATGTTTTAACGAGAAAAGTTTGTAATACAGGCCTAACAAGATAAAGTGATATGATGATGTAACAAGAAAATGTTCTTATAAAAATGTCCAGTAATAGCAAGACAATATGTCATAAAACATAAAAACACAAAAATGATCTTATAATGGGCAAATATCTTTTGTCATGGTGGCAGCAATACCCTGCTGTAATAAAAGGAATATGAACCACAGACTTACCGAAATGGACATT